CAGCTCTTCTTACTTTGGCTTTTCTCCATACTGTGTTTCAGAGAAAGATAATTTAAAGCTCATGCCTATAATCCTAGCTACTTGGGAAACTGAGATCCAGCAACTCAGGCAAGTAATTTGTGAAACCACCCCCATCTCCAAAATAACCAAAACAAAATTGACTAGAGGTGAGGCTCAAGTGGTAGAGTGCCTGTTTTTTTTGCAAGCAAAAAGCCCTGAATTCAAACTCCCATTCCACCAAAAAGAAAGAAAGAAAGATCTTGAGGAACCACAGAAAACAAACTAGGACTCCTGCATTGGTATTTCACTGTTAAGCTTCCAACATATTTCAGCCAAGTGCATTTTATCCAGAGATACAAATAAACTGCAGGGAAACACTGTCGCTTTTATTGTGGGTTGGGTTTACTGTTTGGGTTTCAGTTACTGTGTCCTTTAGCAATTTGCTCTTCCCTAGGAAGTGGAAGCAGAGAGCTGTGGCTTAAGTTGGCCTCTATTTTGAAGAAACAGCCCACTCACCCTGAACGAAATTAAATTGTAACTAGAGTTTGTTAGCATAAATAACATTCTGCCTCCACTGGCTAGGTAACAGTAAGTTACCTGATACAGACACAGAAACATTTTGACACTGCAAAAACTAGTTTTTATACTGTACTTGCGTTTAATTTGAAGGGAGTAAGAACCAGTGAAAATGGAAACCATCCCCAGTTTCAAGATTCAAGCAAGTTTCTCCATCTTATATTCCATTAGTCATTTTTTGTTACTGTTTTTGCAGTGCTAGGGATTGAACCCAGAGCCTCCCAAGCCAGGCAATTTCTCTACTACTAAGCAGTATCTACAGCCTTCTATTGGTTATTTTAATACATATACAGAAACCAGTGCTGTGAAATGAAGCTCTCTGAAGAAGCCCAATCTTAAGACTGATTGACTGGTTAGAACTTCCTGATTGTGGAGATGGAATATTGCAGATCTAGAACCAAAATGCTTCTGAGTTACTTTTTTAGTCCCTTCAGTAGCCATTAACTATCAACCTCTGTATCTGACAGAGGTTACTATTAGGTAAAACTTTTCTTTGTATTATTAAAATTAGCAAGCCACTAGCTTCTACCAACCCTAAAGCAAAGAAAGTTATAAGCACAGAAAAGATTTCCCCAACTATGCTGTAACTCACCCACCTGATGCCCTCACCAATGTATATGGTAAGTGGATTTATTTATAACTTTCCATTACTGTTCATGGAACATCTTCGGCAGTGAAACATATCATTCGTGGTACCCTGAATCTGTGTTCTCGAACCATGGTCACTCATGTTTGGCTCAGAATAAACCATTTCTTATTCTCTTTTTGGAGCTGTATTTTGTATTGACAGTTTGTTAGACAACTGTGCTCCATCTTGCCTATTATAGCCTGGTATCTAGTCTATATTAGTCACAGATACGGTGGTTCATTAATATTTTTTCTTAATGTAATTTTTTAATTCCCCCACCCTCTTAATTCAGCTTTTATAATGGAAGTAAATAGCAATCTTTACAATTACAGATGATTATTTCATCACAAATTTTACTAGAGAACACTACGTTTTAGAGTACATAAATAATTCTAAGTCAACAACTAGAATCGTTGGAAACAAATGTAACTAAAAACATCTTCATATGCTAAGAATGGCCACAGTAGTCCATAAAAACTGGCAAAAAGTCAATGTTCCAGAAAATATTACAAGAATTCAAAAGTAAATACTTCAATGGAAGATAGCTCTGCTGTTTTTGCTTTGTTTTGTTTTGTTTTAGCATTGCTGGGATCAAACCTATGGTCTTGTGCATGCTAAGCATGGGTCCTGCTATTGAGCCACATGTCCATGCCTCACCCACCTCCTCACTTTTTTTAACTTTTTGTTTACCATGGAATTTGGAGAACCACAGTCCCATCATCTTATGACCTCATTGAAACTGTCTACAATGTGCACTGTATATGCAAAACTCAGAATTCTACTCAAAAAAATAAAATAACAAAAACTGCTGGGCGCTGGTGGCTCATGCCTGTCATCCTAGCTACTCCGGAGGCAGAAATCAGCAGGACTGCAGTTCGAAGCCAGCCTGGGAAAACAGTTCGAGAGACCCTATCTCAAAAAACCCTTCGCAGAAGTAGAAGGCCCTGAGTTCAAGCCCTAGTACTAGGAAAAAAAAAAAAAAAACCTAGCTACTTACCTTTAACTCATGGGTCACCACAATTTTTCTTTTCTTCTTCTTTTTTTTTTCAATATGGTGCTGGGGATACAACCTAGGACCTTGTTACACCCCAGCTGCATAACCACTTTTATTTTTTGGGTGGGAAGTGGCACTGAGCATTGAACCCAGGGCCTTGGACATGCTAAGCACATACTCTACCACTGAGCTACACTCCCCAAACGTTCCTTGTATTTTTTTGTTGTTGTTGTTGTTGGTCCTGAGGGTTGAACTCAGGGCCATAATGCCAAGTAGGCACTCTACCAAACTAAGGCATACCCCCAGCCCCTTTTGTCTTTTAGATACAGTCATCTCACAATCATTTACTGAGTCACTTTATATTTTAGGCTTGCAAAGAAAAAGGTGGACATAGTGTAATATAAAAAAAAACAAAAAAAACTAAGGCATCTGTTTCTGTACTAAGTGCTTTACATCTCTGAATCTTCTCAAAGTAGCAGAGGCATACTGTATCACTGTCTACATTTTACAGATCAGTAATGTGTCTAAAGTCACAGTTATTAAGATAGAAATTTGAAACCTAGGCGATTTAACTCCAAAGGCCAAATTCTTTTTTTTTTTGGTGGGACTGGAGTTTGAACTCAGGGCCTCACACTTGCTAGGCAGGTGCTCTACCACTTGAGCTACAATGCCAGCTTTTTTGTGTGTTGGGTATTTTTGAGATAAGAGTCTTGGAAACTATTTACTGAACCACAATCCTTCTGATCTCTACCTCCTAAGTAGCTAGGATTATAGTCATAGCCCAGCGCAAAGCCCAACTCTTAGCAATAAAGCCACACAGGCTTAAAGAAACTAATACTTTAATGAAATACATATATATATATATGCAAATGAATAAGTTAAAACAAAAGTAAATGCTTTCATAAACATTTAAGGTCAATGGGAATTGAAAGGATAAAAGTTCTAATTTGGCCTGGAGTAACTTCCATAAAATGACTTTGAAAATGGTTTTCAAAGATAATTAATTATTTGCTGGATTAAAAAATAAAGAGAGCAGTATAGACAGAAATCTGTTCAAAGATTTTGAAATTCAAAATCTTTCAAATTTCAATTGAAATTTTTTTTTGAATTTTGAATTCAAATTTCGAAATTTTTGAAATTGAAAAACATTTCAAATTCAAAAATTTCAAAATCTTTGAAAAGAATTCAAAGATTGTGAAAGAGGGTCAGGTCAGATGTCCAAGAAATTGAGTTGTCACTGAAGAAGGAAAATGGAAAGAGTAGGGTATTCCATAGAATAGGAAAACTCTTACATGTTATCTTCACATTTTCCCATGAAGCTCAAAGTGGTGCTTTGAAGCAGAATAATCAGTTTTCTTTCTTATAAAGATGAATCTGATGACAATGTGGAAGACGGACTGGTAGGGAGACTGGTGAGAAATACTGTCATGAGAAGTCTGTTCTAAGTGTAAATGATGAGTTCTTCCACATGGCCCAACAGGGACAGTGAAGAGAGAACTTCAAAGACCTGAGAGTAAAGATTGGGTTGGTACTGATGATTGGAATTAAAATTTAGATGATTGTCTAAAAGAAACTAATTTTAACTTTTATTTTAATTTTATCTGGTGGGACTGGGCTTTGAACTTGGGACTTCACACTTGCAAAGCAGGTGCTCTATTTGAGCCACACCTCCAGTCCATTTTGCTCTGGTTATTTTTGGAGATGAGGTCTCGCAAACTATCCCCGTGGGCTGTCCTCAAATGGCAATTCTCCTGATCTCAACCTCCCAAGTAGGAAGGATTATGAATGTGAGGCCCCTGGTGCTCAATGGAAGAAACTAGTTTTAGACTCATGTTTTTGGATCAGAGATTTTAGAAAATCCTTGTTTTAGGAGAATTTTTTAGACATGTGCTTATTATCATTTATAATAAGATTATCAAGGATACCAGTTGTTTCCCATCATCTTATCAAATGCAGAGAGAAGCTGAGAAATAATTACAAAACAGAGTTTAAGTCTTAAAACATTGTCCTATTGATGCAAAAGAGCTAAATAAGGATATAGGCTCTAAAACCAGATGTACCTGGGTTGAGCCTTGTTGCTCACTACTAATGGACACTTAGTCTCAGTCATACCACCTACATTGGAGACAATAATGCATATCTTACAACACTGCTACTAGGTCCTGACACAGAAGTAATAGCTACACGATTGTTGTAAGTTTTTTCTTGGCATGTTCCTTAAAATAGTAATCTATACTTACCTGGTAATTGTTTAAAGAAGGCAGTACTCTTAAACAATTTCTTCTATTAACCACAGCATAAAGATTTAGGTATATAGTTTTAAGTAAGTACAAAATTGTAAAACTATCTTAATTAGATCGATATGCATACTATGTATCACTCAATTTAATAGCAAAATGCTAAATTTCAGATAAAATAGTCATATCAAGAATATATACCAGGTTTAAGGCTGGGGGCATAGCTCAAGTGGTAGAATGCTTGCCTAGCAAGGCCAAGGTCCTGAATTCAAACCCCAATATTGAAAAAAAAAAAGCCAGATTTATACAACAGCGCCTCCAAGACAATGCCTCACATCCAAAAGCTATTTTAAGATTCTCAGATTAGAGAAGTCTAGATAGCATACTGGGTAAGTTATAATGCCTGTAGCAAAAAGCTAAGAAAAACTGGAATGACAACCTAACTTTCCTGTATGCAAGATAAATGTTTAAAAGTCTCTAGGACCTACTTTAAAAAGTTTAAAATGTGGGCTACAGCTAGAAAAATAGTTAGAAAGCCATAAATTTTGTGAATCTAAAACTTTACCTGTTTTCTTTGTTTTATCAGAAGTAACATCCGATGAAGACAGGGAAGTAGAGATGCTTTTATAGACATCATGACTGCAAACTCCAGGATCTTCCTCATCAGAAGAAAATGAAGAGAAATGTTCCAAGTTTTTAAGCTCATTATCGACTTTTTCTGATGGACTGACACTCCCAGTTTCAGACACTAAACGTGTGGGTGCTGTGGATGAAGTCTTTGGATGTGGTGGAGGACAAAACGTACGGACAATCTGGGTCCCGGGTCGTCTGGTCCTGTTAGGCATTCGGACAGCAAGTGTGGAAAACTGCTGCTTAGGCCCAGATTTCAAAAAATCTAAGAAAGAAGCAATAAATCCTGTCTTGACTTCTGGCTGTTTTTCTTCTACTTCTTTTATCTTCTGCCTCATTTTTTCTTGATGCTGATAACCTTCGTGGCAGCTTTCTGAGGAAGGTGGAGTATATGGTAAATACGGATCTGTTCCCCTAGGATTCTGGCGTTTGCCTTGGGCGGGTCTTTTCAGCTGTTTTTGATTACTATTTTCTTCTTCTTTAACTTGCCCTTTTCCTTTAGGTTTTTTCTTTGGAAGGTTAAAATTTATTAAATCTTGGCTTTCTTCTTCAATCTTGGCACTGGCTGTATCACCAGACTGAGCCATGGCCAACAGTGCAAGGGCACTCCTATTAGGGTTCATTGACATACTACTGTCATCACTCCCCAAGGTAAATTCATTCTCTGATGTAGCACTCTCTCCACTTATGCTCCTACTACTAGAAACAAACTCTTGGTTTCGGTTATTACTTAATGTATTATCAAGAGGAACCTCACTGTCTTCTTCAGACTCATGATTGGTAGTGGACAGTTTCTTGAATGGGCCAGAACTTTGCTCCTGGACTTCATGACTTGGCCCAACTACTGCAGAAGTCACTTTAGTTGCCATATTTTGACTAGGTGTTTCAATATGCTGTTGGTCAAGAGTCATTTTTGACTGAAGGGTAGGTACTGGTGAAAGGTTTACAGTAACCTGATTTCCATTTAAGGAAATATCATTTATATTCTGTGGCTTTCCTACTGTGGCTGTTATGGAGTTAAAATCTGAAGTTACATGCCTGACATCTAGTGACTGCTGAAAATGAGATTTAGAATTACCACCTTCAACAGCCTGCACGGTATCATTTGAGGTTGACTTCGAAAAATCAGAAGGTGTAACCCCACAAGCTGCTGCTGTAGCTGCTAAGATATCATCTACATTGGATAAAATATTTCTTTCATCACTGAGAAGCATTGCCTCTGGGAAACATATTGATCCAAGAGAAACAAACTGACTCTTGGAATCATGTTGATTTGTTTCAGTGAAATGACCCTTTGCTGTTAGATGTTGTTGTAATGGTTTTGAAGATTCGGAGAGGTCTATTTTCAATATTTCAGGATTCTGAGGATGGATCTGCTGCTGAGAGGGATCACCATTGGTCTGAATAATATGGCCATCCATTTGAAGAAAAGGATGTACTATTTGTTGAGGACTCTGAACACGCTGTACTTGTAAAGATGCTTTAACTTGTCCTAAACCTGCCTGAAGCATGGACTGCTGAAGAATCTGTAAATCACAGGCAGATTCTAAAAGGACCTGTGTACTGGGAAGAGATGTCTGATGGCCGTGCCCTAAAGCATGATTTGGAATTTGAATCTGAGATGAGGCATTAATTATTTGATCATGCTGTTCCTGGGCCTTGGCTTCATGTACCTTATGTATAAGAGAATGCTGCCGGTTTGGGTCTTTAGTACTCAACCTTATTTGTGGAGTTTGCATTAAATTAGTTGCCTTCTTAATATCAGGGGTTGCTGTATTTTTGGTTTGGCCAACTTGTTGGTTAAGCTGTGTAACTGAGCCAATCATGTTTTCTTCTTTATTTGACCCTTGTAGAGCAATCCCAACAACTTGATCTTCAAGATGGGAATTGCTTCTGATTACACTTTGAGAGTATCTGTCATCAGTCTTTGATGACTTATAAACTGATTCTTGAGACTTAATTTCCCCATCAGGTAGCCTTTGGCTTGATGATTCAAGAGATGCCTGTGGTTGCAATGCCTGTAACTCTTGCATTGGAAACTCATCTTCTTCCTTTGAAGATGTATACACATTTGAGTCAAGTTTTCTTTCAGCGTAAGACTTTGGATCAGGGGAAGGTATGTTATTCTGACAATGAGTAGAGGATGCAAAAGATGATGACTGCACACCAGGCAAAAACTTTTGGGATGGGGGAGATGATGATCCTTGAGTCTGGGCATTTTGGGAAGAATGCATAGAAATGTAATTTTGGGTTGGGCTAGAATCTGGCAAGTTCTCAGCCCGAGAAGCAGAAGAGTAAGAAAGAGAAGGGGCTGTTAATGTAAGGGGCTGTCCTGACACATAGCTTTCTGAAGGACTAACAACTGATAAAACTTGTGATTGAGATGAATAACTGACCTGTGTCTGGCTAACTGATGATAAACCCTGAGAGTGACCAGATGAGTAACTTTGAGACTGACTGACTGAACACAGATCTCTTGTTTGGGCAGGGTAATTCTCACTTGCAACTGAAGATAACACTTCTTGCTGACTGGATGAATAACTCAGTGTCTGATTTTGAGAAGTTATGGGCTGAGATGACCCAGAAAAAGTCAATGTTTTATATAAGGATGGCAATTTCTCAACCCTGCTGGACCTATAAACCTGTGAATGAACAATAGATGGCACATTATGTGGCTGTACTAAACCGTAATTTTGGGACTGACTAACTGATAAAAGGCTGGGTAGCTGTGCTGTAGAATAAATTTGTGCTTGGCCTGATATTACAGAACTCTGGTTATGTAAAGGTTTGGAATAGCTTAGTGTTTGCACAGGAGGAATTATACTCTGAGATTTTGGGCTCTTAGTTGATGTTAGTGGTTGTTTTGTAGAACAGCTGTCTACTTTAAGAGTAGAAGAAGGATACCCTGATGATGTTATTGCAGATGAGTAAGACTGAGCAAGTTCCACTGAGACCTGGGGTGTTTTCTGTTGTAATCCTCCATTGCTCACCTGAGTAGACTCTCCAATTGGGCTACAAGGTAAAGATGACTGCCTGGATGTTTCCTGAAAATTAATTACACTTGCATTTGATAGATAACTATGTAAGGAATGCTGTGAACCAGTCAGTTGGGTACCTGAAGGCCGCTGATGGTGTTTAATAACACTACATTCTCGAAGAAGAGCTCTTTCAATGGAAGCAGAACTAGTAAAGAGAGTTGAATTGTAGCCTTGAGGAGTTTGCTGGGCTCCCCCAAGTGCTGAAGGCAACAAACTAAATTGAGGTTGTAAAAGATGGGGTGCAGACTCTTGAGCTGAGCGATATGTTGAAGACTGAGGTGGTATGCTGTTACTTAATGCAGAACTGCCCAGGCGCTCAAATGCCAAAGCAGTTGGGACAGTTCCCTGGGAAGTCTTAATCTGTAGCAAAGGGTCATGAGGATTTAAAATTCCATTTGATGTAGTGTTAAAAGTTGAATCCTGAAGCACCAAAGGTGAGGTTGTAGCAAAGTTTCTATTGTTAAAGGTGGCGGGATGCTGATAAGCAGAGAGGGTAGACGGTGCAAGTGTTCCAGTGGTGGGCAAAGGTCCAGTAACAAACAGCTCAGTTGCTGCTGAGGAATGCATGCCTGTGAAGAGAAGACAGAAAGACCTTTACACAATTATGGCACAAATATGTGTTTTCACAGTAGTGAATTATATAATCCTCAACACGGCAAAATGACTACTAGGGTAAAAAATTAACTCTGTAGGTAAATTCTGAAAAATACATTTCAATATAGCTTGCTTTCTTAAAGCAAAACCAAAATTATAAAGGTATCAGCATTCATATCTATAATTATCATATCAGTGAACTTATATAAAAAGGTCACATAAAAATTAAAAAGCCAGCAAAAATATTCATAATCACTAGTGACTAATTTACCCTGAGTTTCTAATGCAAAATAACTAAAATGTACAAAACATTAAAACTGAAACATTGCCGGCCTGCAGGTGGCTCACATCTATAATTCTAGCTACGTAGGAGGCACAGACCAGGAGGACTGTGGTTCAAAGCCAGGCCAGGCAAAATAGTTCACGAGACCCCTACCTCGAAAAACCCATCACAAAAAAGGGCTTGGTGGAGTAGCTCAAGGTGTAGGCCGATTCAAACCCTAGTACTGCAAAAAAGAAAACAAAAACTGAAACATCAATACTGAACTGCCTATACCTAACATGATGAATAAATCTAAAAATAACAGTGAAATAAACCCTAAAATTTCTTTAGCCAAAATGCATTCACTTTAAAAATCTTTTGCATTTTGAATACTGACCTCCATGAACTTTCCAATAGTAAGAGATGCATAATTATTATGAAAGGTTGGTCAGAAATCTATACTGGTAAGAAGAGACTGACATTTCAGGATAGTATTACAAATACATAAAGCAAAAGTAAAAATGTGTATACCCATTCAAGTTTCATTTCTAGAAATTTATTCTACAGAAATAAGTGGACAGCAAGACATTTTGTACAAGATATTCATTATAGCTGTTATTTATAATGAGTACAAATTACCAAAATGTCCATCAATAATGAATTAAAATAATTATGCCATATCCTAACAATAAACACTGATTAGGTGAATATGAATGTTTTTGACATACAAAGACATCCAAGAAGAACAAACACCAAACTCCTGTCTAAAAATGAGTGGAGTTAGGCACTATCACTTCCTCCTTTATATACTTATTTTTTTTTTTGAGACACTGCAAAATAACAACTAACATGTATAAAACACCATAAGCCTGCACCCAGCATGTTTTTATTTTCGTGAAACAGTCTCACTGTGTAGACCAGACTGGCCTTAAACTCAAAATCCTGCTGCCTCAGCCTCCCAAGAGCTGCGATTGTAGGTGTTGTCCACCACACCAGGTTTTGACTGATTTCTAGATGACACACTAGATCAATAGAGAAGGGAGTGACGAGGGCTAGCAAATTTACCACAAATCCAACAAAAGATATTCTGAAATGAAGATGTTCCTTATCCTTACACACTAACACCAATACCTTCTTCCAATTACTAGTGTATGTGTTATGTATACGTTCTTATCTTATTTCCCAGTGTAGGTTCAGTTTGATGTACACAAATCCATGAATATTTCTTTATTTGGCCATAGGATAGAAAAATTTGTGGTGCTCTGGGGAAAAAAAAAAAACCATAAAACTGCCTCAGTAATCCAAGAATTCAAGGCCCTTCTGAATGCAATTCAATTGTGGAACCAAATACAAATTGCAAAAAGTAAATTAAAAAAAATTGAAACCTGAAAATTACTAAAAAATTTAACTCCCCACCTCATGGCCTGATTTCCCAGTAGACCTGTGCCCCAACTCCACAAAATGATTTTTAAATCTATGGACTTAATAAAAATTTTCCCAGTTAAAAAAAAAATTAGGGGGAGGGGGAGAGGGGAGAGGATGGGGCAGGGGGAGGGGGGAGAAATGACCCAAACAATGTATGCACATGTGAATAAGTGAATTTAAAAAAAAAATTAAAAATAAACTGTACAGCTGGGCACTGGTGGCTCATGCCTGTAATCCTAGCTACTCAGAAGGCAGAGTTCAGGAGGATCGTGGTTCGAAGTCAGCCTGGGCAAATAGTTCATGAGACCCTATCTAGAAAAAACCCTTCACATAAAAGGGCTGGCAGAATGGCTCAAGTGGTACAGCGCCTGCCTACTAAGCATGAGACCCTGAGTTCTAAACCCCGGACAAAAAACAAAAACAAAAAAACCCACAAACTAAACAAATTAAGAATACTTTACAGAAGGGGAGGCTCAGATGTGAATTATTAAACGGTTGCCTGCCTTCTTTTAAACATACACCAAAAATATTAAAGGATTTTCCTTTGGTTTATTTTAAAACTTCATTTTTACCACTAATAAAGTATAACTAAATACATGAAATATAAAATTATTTCTGGAAGCAAAAAAATGAAGTTTTTTTAAAAAAATATTTTACTTTACACAAAATGTAAAAGAAGCACAAAAAAAATGTTGCTAGGCATCCTGAGAATCTTAATTAGTGGATTTTTTTTTTTTTTTCAGTACTGGGGCTTGAATTTAGGACCTACACACCTTGAGCCACTCCACCTGCCCTTTTTTTTGTGATGAGTGTTTTCAAAATAGGATCTCATGAACTATTTGCCTGGGGTGGGCTTCTAACCTCAGTCTTCCCAATCTCTGCCTCCAGAGAAGCTAGGATTAAAGGAGTGAGCCACTGGCATCTGGCAATTAGTGGAATTTGTAAAAGAATGATGAAACGCTATTTCCTACAGCTATTATTTTAAAATCTCAAATTTTCTGTCATCTCTTCTTTAAAACAAAACACCCCCCCAAATATTCCTGCATCCTACAAAAAATAATTATATATAAAAATTTAAAGAGAAACTGTTGGAAAGTGAAAAAAAATCAAATAGAGAAAAATACAAAGAGACTTCGTAATTATTGTTGAAAATAGGTATGGTATAATATCAACTTGTAATAGCTTTTATTAAATAATTTCAATCTTTCAATTAAGGATAACTTCATGTAACACTAATGATAAAATAAGTCAAGATTATTTTTTACTATTATTATCTATCTAACCTGAAGTCCTTACAACAAATGAAATTAAATCTTCACTCCTCTCAAATAGATAAATAAATATTTACCATGCCAACTATAATCTTTAGGGTTTATCTTTAATAATTATCAATTCTTAAAAGTCAGTTTGTTAAGTTTCATCAGAGTGCTAAAACAGAATTTCTACACCAGGTGTGGTGGCACATACCTGAAATCCCAGCACTCAGGAGGGCTGGGGTAAGGAGGATAAGTTGGGGGCAAGCCTAAACGGCAAGACCCTCAAAAAAAAAAAAAAAGAAAAGAAGCAGGGCGCCAGTGGCTCACACTTGTAATCCTAGCTACTCAGGAAGCAGAGATTGGAAGGATTATAGGTTGAAGCCAGCACAGGCAAATAGTTGAGATCCTATCTCAAAAATACTCAAGAGGAAAAAAGGCTGGTAGCATGGCTCAATTGGTAAGAGTGCCTGCCTAGTAAGCATGAGTCCCTGATTTCACATCCCAGTACCACCCAAAAATAAATAAAGAAAATGGAATTTCTGCTAGTGACAAATTCTTGAATTTTATCCACCTTAAAACATTCCAGGTCTTAAAAGGTACTAGAAAATCAATAACCAACATCAGTCTCAGCCATGAAAAAGCCATAAAAGTATATTTTTGATCATTTTTAGAAGATTTAAAAATTCTGAAAACAATGAATCACCTGTCTGCCAGGATGGAGCCCTGAATTGTGGTAAAAGAGTAGTTCCTGAAGAAGCAGCCTGAGCTGTGCGGGACTCAACAGAGGAAAGGAAATTCATCACGGAAGATTCTTTAGTGTTAGTGCTGGCACTGTTCACACTAGTATCGAATATTCCCGAAAGACCTGTGGTGGAAGAGAAAATATATTCCAAAGTAAAAATATACTTATATAAAATTCTATTTCTAACCCTACCTTAAAAAAGGAATTTCTGAAAATTAAGGTCAAAAACTTCTGTAACCCTGTTTTATCTTGTAATAGCTAACAAATGCTAATTTGACCATGCATATTCATAATTTTAAAATTTCCAATGACACATGAAAGAAAATGTCTCAATTTACTAATCACAGATACTCTCTCTCTCTCAGTAGAAACCAAAGGTTTTAAGCGCATTTTCATTTTATTATTTCCCATGGCATAGTTACATCCTACACATTACATTTATAACCCAAAAAGTGAAAATTACTTTCTCTTCTGATTCACTCTATGTGCCTAGGTTCACAGTATACTCCACAAGCACTATTACCAGTGGGTTGAGGTGTGGGGGCATATCCAGGAAGCTGATGAGAGGCTCCAAATGACTGTCTCTGAAGGAGATCTGGTTCAGACTGGGAAGGGTGTCCTTCTTCATAGCTTAAACTGGAGGTTAAAAAAAAAAAAAAATTAGTAACCAAGACACACAGCCCAAACAATACAGTCAAAAAATTTCTAGGAGATCCAGGTGTGGTAGTACACATCGACAATCTCAGCACTCAGAAGGCTGAAGCAGGAGGGTCATTAGTTCAAGACCAATCTGGGCTACACACTAGGCCAGCCTAGGATACACAGCAAGACCCTGTCTCCAAAAAACCAGGGCCAGGCCCCAGCACTGAGGAAAAACAAAACAAAACCTAGAACTACTACTAATAGTATTAGAAGTTGTCTCAGCTAAGGACCACCTGTAACTGGCAAAAACAAACACCACAAAACAAGTAGTAGAAGTCTTTGACCAAATTTCTGACCTATAAATAAGCAGAACACAGTCAAACAGTATCATCACAATATGGACAATACATCAAAGATACAATGGGAAGAAAAATGTTACATGGTATTTTCCTTAATTCAACTTTACTTAGGAGTTCTTTTACCAGGAGAAATAACATGGTATAGTGCAAACAGCGATATTCTGAAAAACAGGAGAGCTGAATTCACTGTCCAAGCTGTACTTCTAGCTAGTAGTATGATTTAAATGTGACACAATTACTGTCAGACTAATTTCTTCATCTGTATGAAAAAGGGACCAGACAAAATAATCTTCTTTAGTTCTCACATTGTATAGAATATCAGATAATTCAAACAGATTAATTGCTGGGGCTTAGGATGTCACTGAGTGGTAGTATGCTTGCCTAGGATGCATGAACCTGGGTTTAATTCCCAGCACTGTAAAACCAACCAAACAAAAAAATGACTTCTCAGTAACTGCCTAGAAATTCAGAACAAGATCAATTTTCCACTTTTGATTTTTACTTTGGATATTTTAAATCCCTAAGAAGTCAAAATAGTACAAAGAACAACCACATACCCTGTTTAAGATTCAATAGTTAACATTTTGTTACATTTACTTTTCCCTATATATAAGAATACACACTTTCTCCTCTCTGCCACTTAAAATAGTTTGCAGACATCATGGCACTACAATAAGTACTTCAGCTATAACTCCTAGGAGTAATATGTAACCAAACATCATCACGAATCTTGAAGAAATTCAACATTAATTCAATAATCATGTAATATGTAGGTATATTTAGATTTTCCCAATTGTTGCCAAAATGGCTGGGATTTCTCAGTTTTTTCTAATAAGGAGTTAATCAAAATTAAATTAGTTCATTTGATTATGACTCTTTAACTGAAGGTCAGTGCCTCCATGCTGCACCCCCAATTCCAGATTGCTTTTGTCTTGATTTCATGACATAGACTTCTTTGGCCAACTGAACTATAGGTATCCCATGTTCTGTTTGTTCAGTTGAGAAAGGCGTACATAAATGATTCTGTGTTCTTATTTTGCAGAACATGAGGCAAATAATGTCAATTTGTCTCATTATCGTTGATAATAAGCTTGAAGTAGTTCAGGTAGTATCTGTCAGAACTCTCCATGTAGTTATTTTTTCTACTTTGAAATTAGGTATGCAATTATGGGATATTTTGTTCCCAATAGTTTTAGGCATCATATACTCATAATCTTTAATTCAATTATTACACTGGAGAACAGAAGTGATAATATTTTAATTATGTCATTACTTCAGTATTTGTTAACATTCTTTTTTTTTATTCATATGTGCATACAATGTTTGGGTCATTTCTCCCCCCTTCCCCCCCACCCGCTCTCTCTCCCCCCCACCCCCTCGCTACCCGGCAGAAACTATTTTGCCCTTATCTCTAATTTTGTTGAAGAGAGAATATAAGCAATAATAGGAAGGACTAAGGGCTTTTGCTAGTTGAGATAAGGATAGCCATACAGGGATTGACTTATATTGCTTTCCTGTACATGTGTGTTACCTTCTAAGTTAATTCCTCTCAAACTAACCTTTTCTCTAGTTCTTGGTCCCCTTCTCCTATTGGCCTCAGTTGCTTTAAAGTATCTGCTTTAGTTTCTCTACACTGAGGGCAACAAATGCTATCTAGTTTTTTGGGTGTCTTACCTATCCTCATACCTTCCTTGTGTGCTCTCGCTTTATCATGTGCTCAAAGTCCAATCCCCTTGTTGTGTTTGCCCTTGATCTAATGTCCACATATGAGGGAGAACATACGATTTTTGGTCTTTTGGGCCAGGCTAACCTCACTCAGAATGATGTTCTCCAGTTCCATCCATTTACCTGTGGATGATAACATTTCATTCTTCTTCATGGCTGCATAAAATTCCATTGTGTATAAATACCACATTTTCTTAATCCATTCGTCAGTGGTGGGGCATCTTGGCTGTTTCCATAACTTGGCTATTGAGAATAGTGTTGCAACAAACATGGGTGTGCAGGTGCCTCTGGAGTAACCTGAGTCACATTCTTTTGGGTATATCCCCAAGAGTGGTATTGCTGGATCATAAGGTAGATGTATGTTTAGATTTTTAAGAAGCCTCCAAATTCTTTTCCAGAGTGGTTGTACTAGTTTACATTCCCACCAGCAGTGTAAGAGGGTTCCTTTTTCCCCACATCCTCACCAACACCTGTTGTTAGTGGTGTTGCTAATGATGGCTATTCTAACAGGGGTGAGGTGGAATCTTGGTGTGGTTTTAATTTGCATTTCCTTTATTGCTAGGGATGGTGAGCATTTTTTTATGTTAACATTCTTCTGTAAAATAAGAGCTTTTTCTCTTGTGCATGTATAATGTGTATTTAAATTTATCTCTTCAGCCCAAGCTGGCCTTGAACTTACAATGTACCCCAGGCTGGTCTTGAATCTTTCTCTCACCTCCTGCATGCTAGGATTACAGAAGTGTGCCACCATACCCAGTTCTGTGTCTTTTCTGACGTGGACTTCCTTACCTTCTGGCATAAGATGTTTCAGGTTCACCTTATTTCCCCTGTCTCAGCTATGCAAGGAGCCATGAGAGCCATTTTAGGAGCAATGGCATTTAGAAACCAAGACTAGATGTTATGTGCGCTCAATGCCTGGGGTGTCACTGCTTTTAGGCCCTTTCAGTGGACAAAGCTAGAAAGCATAGGTCTTTTTAAAAACGTGAGTTCATACTGACAATTCCTATTCAAAATCTAATATAGATTTCCTTATCTTCCCCCATTTCGCACGTCTCTCTCCTATTATCTACAGTCAGAATCCTGGATCACAATTACACAGATATTACATTTATTCATTATCTTTATCCAAAAATATAACATTGCTCTACCAAAAGCAAAATAATTCAATATTTCTTCACAGTGCTTTTTTGTTCCAAGATTGCATTTCATAAGAATACATTAAGATACTTTATCAGAAGTAATTACTCTTTGTACAGCTACATTATATTATTAATTAGGTATAGGAGATAGATTTTGTTTCTGTTTGAAGAATTCCATTTTAGGATAAATTTTAAATTTTTCTCACCTTAAAATCAACTTTAAACTGGCCATGGTGGTGCACACCTGTAATCCCAACACTGAGAAGTCTGAAGTAGGAGGATGGGGAGTTCAAGGGCAGCCTGCACTACACAGCAAGATCCTGTCTCACAAATACAAAACAACAATAAAAGCCAATATTATTGGTTGACTTACCACTATAGCTTAGTGGTAAAGCACTGGCTTCCAAGCAGGCCAAGGCCCTGGGTTTAATCCCTAGTACCAAACAAATAAACCCCACAAAACTTTATTAAGGTATACGTTACATACAAAAATATACATGTTTAATAGATTGAGAAATTTATGTACTAGTCTAGCAAGTATAGTGTCACCATAATAAATACTTACACTGCCATCACAATGAAAAGGTTTTTGAGGATTGCTTTGTTTGTTTGTATTGGGGTGGGGATGATCATACTATGTAGCCAAGGCTGGCCTAGAATATGTGATCCTCCTGCCTCAGCCTCCCAAATTCTGGGATTACAGTCAAACGGTAGAATTACAAGCGTATACCACTAAACCTGCCTACAACAAAAAGTTCTCACATGCTCCTTTGCAGTCAATGTGATTTTCATTTCACCCCTGGCCCTGATCACCAATAATTTCATTGCCACTTTTAGGAAAGCCTCTTTCAGAATTTCATATAAATATAATCATATACTGAAACCTTGTGTCATACAAATAACCCTGTGCCAGTTTACTTTCTTTTAGCACAATCTTTTAAAGATGCATTCATGTTGTTGAATATACAAGTAGTTAACTCCTTTTCATTAATGTGTATGAATTACACAATGTTTATCCATTCAGCTCCCGATGAGCATTTAGTTTGTTTCTAGTTACGGGCTACTATGAACAAGCCTGCTGTGAACATTTCTGCACAATTTTTTGGTGGACATATGGTTTCATTTTCCTAATTAAATATCTGAGAGTGGAATTACTGAGTGATAAGGAGGTACATACACTGTTTTATAATATCACTGATGTATGAATATTTACATCCTTGTCTATACTTAATCTTTTAGCTATTCTTAATTTTAGCCATTCTAGGAGGGTACAATGGTATCTTCTTATAGCTTATAATTTGCATTTTCCTACTAACAAATATGGAGGAGCATATTTTTATATGTTTATAGGCTACTCTTTTAGCTTCTCTTGTGAAGTTTGTGCAAATCTGCCCATTTTAAAAAAACCTGGGTTGGGTTGTAAGAGCCCTTTACATATTCTGGATCTACTTTTTTTTTTTTTTGGAGGTGCTGGGGATCAAACTCAGGGCATTTTGTATGCTAGGCAGACACTATACCACTGAACTATCCCCAGTCCTGGATCCACATTCTTTGTCAGATACATGTATTGGGATTTTTATTTTCTCCAAGTCTAGTGGTTTGCCTTTTCATTTCTAGTGTCATTGAATAATGATGTTTACATTTTTGGTAAATTGGATTCTCTTTTATTTGGTGCTTTTAGTGTCCTAAGACACTAAAGGCTCTGTCAACCAAGGTTACTAATATAGTTTCCTTATAGAAAACTATACATGTTTAGGTCTAGGAATCATTTTCAATTTTTTTTGTATGGAGTGAGATAATGGTCAAGGTTCATATTTTTAACTTTTCAAAAAATCAGGAAAAAGATGTATATAGTAGCCCCCCCCCTTATTTGCAGAATACATCCAGTTTTGACCAAATGCAATAAAAAATGTATTTTTAAAAATCAAAAGAAAA